GTGCCATTCTAACTTCAAAAGATCACTAAAAATGGTCATAACTCGAAGACTGCCTTGTCTCAATTTTTTTGTTATCTTAGATTTTTTTTTATCCCATGTCTACTATTTGTATATTGCAAGGTGGTAAATATATTTGATACTCCTTCCTCCTATTTTCTCCATCCAACAACCCTGTGACGCGTTGAGGTAAGAGTGAGTGACTGGCCAATTCTGTAGCCAGGATATTTGTCATTTATCTATACTGTGGCTTCCTGTCTTGTAGACGGGTTTTGTACAAGATGTTTTGGGGTTCCTATTTTCCTAAGGACATTCCACAGCTTGACTCAACACAATTAAAGGCCTTTCTACAATCAATAAAGCATATATTGACTTTCTTTTAGTATTTTTTCGTTTTCTCATTTATCCAACTTGCATTAGCAAAAATGTGTCTTGTTCCTTGGCCTTTTCTAAAAGCACTTGAATATCTGGTATCTCTTCTCATGTAGGGTCCAGTCTATGTTGGAGGATCCTAAGTATTATTTTGCTAGTATGTGAAATTAAGGATATTGTATGATAGTGTCAGACTCCAAGAACCAAGAAAGGCATGCAGAAGTACATCTAAGTAGTTTCCTTTATTCCTCACCTATAGACAGAAATCTTGCCAAACTAAAGTAACTACATAATGAAATATATACTGAGAACTTCTATGGAGGAACTACCTTGACTCTCCCAAACAAACTATATAAACGTAGGTGTTTCTTGGTTTTCTGGAGTGCAGATTATGGGAATTCAGAGTACATTTCACCACAGGTAATTCCTTCCTTCCTTCCCTTCCCTTCCCTCCTTCCTTTTGACCTCTTTCGATCTATCAGTCACTGTGTCAGTCTCTATTCCGTTGCCATAGTCTAGCTAGAACCTTTTCTAGCTAGACTTGGCAACAGAATGGAGAATGACACAGTGCCCAATAGATCAAAAGAGCCAGTAGAAGCTTTCCTATTTCTTTTTTGCTTCTTGCCACATTTTTGTAGATATTCCATTACTCTCTGTAGTTTTCTAATTTGGGAATGACAACACTGCTGATGTAACCCTTTTGGAAGATTTCCTGTTTTTTCCAAGTCTGTTTCTATCCTCAGTGATATATGTTTGTTTATTCTAAAATCTGAATTTTTTTGTCATGTTACTTTACTTTTTTTGGCTTTGGCTTCTCTTCCCTTTTATACAATTTTCACCATCTGTGTCTGACATCCAAAGTGCTTGCTTTTATTTCTGTTTTCACATTCACCTTGTATGCTCATAAGTGTCTCATGGAAAGTATTTGGCTTTTTATTTCCATTTTAACTTAATTTGGAATTTGCATATGAACCATTTATGATCTGCTCTGGTCACCAGACCACCTCTTCCTATTACAACGGAATATGCTCTACTTTAGTTCTCAAATCTATAGTGTTTTAAGCAGGAGAAATTGAGCCAATCTCTCTCCTCCTCCCTCCCCCTCCCCTCTCTTCTCTATATTTGCTATAATTTATAATTTATTATTATTATTCAAATTTCTATACCGCCCTTCTCCTTTCGGACTCAGGGCGGTGAACAGCCAAAATAAAACATTTATACATAAAGTACGATTAAAAATAGATTTAAAATAATTAAATTTGGCCCATAGTTTAAAATTTATCAATTTAAAATCCATATCAAAATTTAAAATCAACCATAAAATCAAGAGAGACTGGCTAACTGAAAGAGATGAGTTTTTAGGGCCTGATGAAAAGTCCGGAGGTCGGAGATCACTCGTATCTCTGGGGGTAGATTGTTTCAAAGGGTAGGTGCCATCACAGAGAAGGCTCTCCTCCTGGGGGTCGCCAGCCGGCATTGTCTAGCCGACGGCACCCTGAGGAGGCCCTCTCTGTGGGAGCGAACTGGTCGGTGGGAGGCTATTGGTGGCAGAAGGCGGTCCCGTAAGTACCCTGGCCCTAAGCCATGGAGCGCTTTAAAGGTGATCACCAACACCTTGAAGCGCACCCGGAAGTCCACTGGAAGCCAATGCAGCTCGCGCAGGAGAGGAGTCACATGGGAGCGCCCCGTCGCTCCCATAATCCCCCGCGCAGCCTCATTCTGCACCAGCTGGAGCCTCCGGGTGTACCCCAAGGGGAGCCCCATGTAGAGAGCGTTACAATAGTCCAGACGAGAGGTGACGAGTGCTTGAGTGACTGTGCGTAGGGAGTCCCGATCCAGAAAGGCGCAAATGGCGTATCAGGCGAACCTGATAAAAAGCCCCCCTGGCCACGGCCGTCATATGCCCTTCTAAAGACAGCCGTGCGTCCAGGAGGACGCCCAAGTTGCGGGCCCTTTCCGTGGGGGCCAGTGATTCGCCCCCAATAACCAGCGATGGCGTCAGCTGGCTATACCGGGACGCCGGCAGCCACAACCACTCGGTCTTGGAAGGGTTGAGTCGAAGCCTGTTTCTCCCCATCCAGACCCGCACGGCCTCCAGGCACTGGGACATCACTTCCAAGGCATCGTTGGGATGGTCTGGGGTGGAGATGTACAGCTGAGTATCATCAGCGTACTGATGGAACTCCACCCCAAAACCACGGATGATCTCACCCAGTGGCTTCACATAAATGTTGAACAGGAGGGGCGAGAGGACCGAACCTTGTGGCACCCCACAAGGAAGCGCCTCGGGGTCGACCGCTGCCCCCCTGTCAACACGGATTGCGACCGGTCGGAGAGATAGGAGGAGAACCATCGCAAAACGGTGCCCCCCACTCCCAGTCCCTCCAGCCGGCGCAACATGATACCATGGTCGATGGTATCAAAAGCCGCTGAGACCTAACAGGACCAGGATAGAGGAGTAACCCCTATCCCGAGCCCTCCAGAGATCATCCACAACGCGACCAATGCCGTTTCCGTGCTGTACCCAGGTCTGAAGCCGGACTGGAGTGGATCCAAATAGACAGCTTCATCCAGGTACTGGGGAATAAAGCGAAGGTTGGAGACTGGACGATAGTTAGCCAAAACAGCCGGATCCAGGGATTGCTTCTTGAGGAGAGGCCTCACCACCGCCTCTTTCAAGGTGGCCGGCAGGACACCCTCACTCAAAGAAGCGTTGATAATTGCGTGGAGCCAGCCTCGTGTAACCTCCCGGGAAGCCAGCACCAACCAGGAGGGACACGGGTCCAATAAACATGTGGTGGCGTTCAGCCGTCCCAAGATCCTGTCCATCGGAACATCATGGCATTTTCTTTATATTCAGTTGGCAGTAAAAGGTTAAAAGGAAAAATATAACAGGTGCTCTGAAGAGTAAAACTTGTAAATGTCTGCATTTTTGGTCACAAGTATTCCTGTTTTTGAAACAACTTGCCAGGCATTTTCTGGCATTTGTTCAAACTATTGTCTTTAGCTGCCTAAATGGATCTGTTCACCTGAACGGTTATTTATTTATTTAGCATGGTAATTGCCTATCTCAACTCAGATTAAATTATTAAACCACAACCAATTGTCCTGGTGTCATATGTGCCTTCCAAAGTTGAGTACAACTTACAAAGCCTTCCCAAAATTTGTCAATTTTTAAAAATATAAAATCTGTAATTGAATTTGATATCTGATGACATCAATTATTTCCCCAATAGTCATTGAGAAGTATTCTAGAATCATCCAATTATCATTGTGTCAAAATATTAGTAATAAAGGCAGCCTTTTAAATATTTTAGTGTTGATTCGTGTTCTATGAAAGCAGTATAAATCAGAAGAGGGGTGATGACAGTGTTATGGAAATCATTGGAGCTATGGCAGATAAAATTAAGATTTCACAAATGTTTAAAACAATGTTTTATTGTGTTACAAAGGCAAAATATGTCTTGAGTGCTTCATAATGCAGATGCACCAGAAAACAACAAATGAAAGCCAACATCTGGCACAGCCTCCTCAAATTTCCATGAACAAGGCAGGTTTATTCCCAGAAATGTCTGGAAACACAAGATTAATAACATTTTTAATATATTTTCTTTTTTAAAAAGTATATTTTCTTTTTAAGGTGGTTTGTCATCAGGTGCTAATATACCACCTGTTTTTGTCACCTGGGATTTTATTCTAAGACTTACCAAATAATTGTTTTTTTTCAGGTTAAATTTGATTGGTTTCCATAGCCATTCACACTGGCAGGCAGAAACATTAACTCTGAAACGAATAAGTACCATTTTTCGTATGGTATTTTCTGAATCTCATCCAAATATTTATTGATTAATAATGTAAAGTGTTATACGGCCCTATCCGAGAAGGAGGGAGGGAGGGAGGGCGAGAGAGAGAAAGAAAGAGAGACTTGTTGATTTTATCATCTTGGCAAGCTCAGATATATTGTCCTATTTCATTTTGCTCATAGGTGAGGTGAATGGACAGATTTTAACAGGAGGGCATAAAAAGCTTTTGTTTGCTAGACAGGGATGCAGAGGGATCACGGAAAGTGAAAGTGAAGCTATTCAAGTGCCAGCTGCCCTACTCTATGAACAGAATATAGAAATAACCTTTGCATTGGCCCTTTCTGAACACCTTGCTATTCAGTTGTGTGCAGAAGATATACCCAATAGTTTGTATTCATTTTAAAAACCCACTTTTACAAAAATTTTCCTCCCAATAATCTCCAAGTAGAAAAAAAAAATGTAGCTAAGGAAACGGTGATCCCACAACTTAGGGGATCACCTTAAAATTAGTAAGCTAATTTTAATTCTGTGCATACAGAAGAACGAGGATAATGCTGCTGTCATGTAGCCTTAATTTAGACAGCTATTTTAGTATTAAAATAGATTTCTGTTCAAAGCTATCTTTTGTCTTAGTGGTTGTTCTTCAAGTATTCAATTGCATCTAATCCTTCTCTGATGTGAATTTTAAAGCACAAAAGGAAGGTGACTACGTTCAGTAGAAAATGTCCAAGACAGCCTCTTATTTTGCATAGAGACTACATGAAAGCTCAGATGGTACCGAGCACTGCTTCCTATTGGTTGGCTCGGCTGTCTATCTCTGGCTGCTGAAAATACTGGCTCTTGTTTCTTTGCTACACATGAACAGATGTGCTGAGTCTGGAGGGTCTGATTTATTTCTCAATGGAAAGCAGTGTAATTTTTAGATTTTTATTTCTCCTTTTCTGCGTAAGATTTTCATCATCTATGGACCAAATCCCTGGAAGAATGGAAAGGAGGTCAGTGATTTTATGAGTATATGCAAAAAGTGTGGGGGCAGCTGAATAAAAGGTTTATGTTTGTGATTTGGAGAGGGTAGTAACCATATTGTTCATTCAGGTGTTCATGATTAGGGAAGGTTTTTTTTTTTGACGTACTAATCACAGAGAGGCAAATAGTTTCAACATTCAAGATGCTGAGCTTATTTACTTAAAAACAGAGGTGTCAACATCAATGGAAGTTCTCTTGATGAAATTGTATCATATATGGGAAAATAAACAGTTCTGTTGTGTACAATCTTATACTTAAAACCCAAAAGCGATGAGAGAGATTAATCTCTGTTGCATCTCTCTCTTGCCATGATGGTTTGGTTTTCTTTCCTTCCGCACTGTTAATAACAGAGATATAAATAAAATAGTGTAGGTGTAAAACAGACAGCCAGAAACGGTACTGATGACACTGAAAAAAGAATTTTTTAAAAGATGAAATGGAGCTTATAATACGAATTTTGATGCAAATTCAGGTTTACCAGAAAATATGCAATCTCATTCTTGTTCCCTGTACACAATTTTATTTGTGCAACATAAAGCAGCCTCAAATATTCCCCCGGGGGCTTGAGTTGAGGAAAGTTACAATTATAGAAGGAAAAATAGTTACACAGAGAGATGTGCTTTGTTTCACCATTAAAATGCAGGTCACATTAAAATGGGGAGGCTCATAGCTGTGCCTTGGGGAGTGGGGGGGGGGGGGTAATAGACAGGTGTTTGTATTAATCTGTGTCTAATTGTATAGATCTGTAGTTTGGCTAGGAGATGAATTAAAGTTTACTAGATATTTAGTTTAATTATATTATTGGCTCATAAATGCAAGTGGGGGAAAAGCCACATGAGTGATTTGTAATAACTTATTGCATTAAATTTGTCCACTTTTAGGAAAGTATTTCCATACATATATTTAAGTCTCTGGAATGCAGAATTTCTCCAGTTCTGGGCTCATGATGTAATTAGGATCAGAATGAGATGTAAGATAGCTTTTCCTCTTTCTTGTCATTTAATAATCCTTAGGGCATGGCATGGGCAGTCTTAAAGGTGATAACTGATTTGTTGCAAAAGTGGTTGAGAAAGTGATATTTTTGGGAAGAAATTATCTTGTCTGTGGAAGGGAGTTGGTAGTTTTTGTGCTCCCCTGTGTGGATCTTGTTAGTTGGTAATTCTGCCTGTGTGTAATAAAGCACCACTGACATAAAGATTAACAGCCCTATCCTGTAGAATTTGAATGGCAAGCAGACCGATTCAGTCTATTATTTTTTCTCAGAAAAATGAAAAAAAATCCGTTGATACTTAATTCTTCTGACTATGTTTTCCCTATGCACAGTCTCCAAATCATAAGTGGATACTGGAGATGATTATTGGTGTCCTTTCTATACTTTGGTATCTACTGCTGTTGTGGTCTCCAATATCTGAACAAATCTGAATGATTTTATTTGGGGAAAATACTTTGTAATTAATAGTATTTTTGTTGTCGTAAGCTACATGAAGTCAGTTTACATTAAAATATCATGGATCTGAGCTGTAACATATTTGGCCAAACCCAAGTATCACAAAACTTAATTTTCTGCAGCAGCAGCATTAAATGTTAATGCCATGAATGACCTTTACAGAAAATATAGGTAGCTACACTTGTAGCCACATTTCAGGAAAGCAAAGTTCAGATGTTTTTTATTTTAAGCAGAATTGAAAGATGCTAGTTGGTAAAGGTCTCCAAATAGGTCCTGATTTCCAGGCTCAAGAAGTGAACATTGTCAATACTATAAAAGATAGTTGTGATGCTGAACCCGTGTCTGTGATGTGTTCAATATTTTGTATAGACATTTAGTTTATGCACTTGATCATAGGGGCCGCTTGCTTTCCACCAGATGTATATCCATTCCATTAACCTGCTTAACCTTTAATTTGGTGCCTTATATAGCATCATCCTGAGCCTTAGCCAGAATACAATATTCCCAGGTACTGACAGCTCATCCTATTCAATGGCATTTGTGCAATTTGGCACCTTAGTTCCGTCCTCCAACAGTTCTTGTGACTGACTTATCATAAAATAATACTTTCGGTCTCCAGTGAATGCTCAAAATTTTGAAAAGCTTTTGCATATAGTATAGAAAAAATATACTATAGAAGAATTATATTATTTCAACATAGATTAAAACTATGTCATCAATATAGATTTTAAAAAGTGCACAAAATCTCATTAACACATTGAACAAGAAAGAGGCCAAAAGATACCCAGGCTTGATTTCCCTAGGTATGGTTTCATATGGACTCCCAGCCCTGATTAATTTAACTTTTAATGAAGTACTAAGTAATTTAGTTAGAATAGTAAACCCCATTAAAATCAAAAGGTGTCTTCAGGTGAATAAAAATAAGTCTTATATTATGTATTTAATACATAAAGAAAGAAAAAAATAGATGCAAATAATATAGTCAAATAGTTCAAGGCATGGTTAATAGGAATAGAGGCAGAGAAAATATAACATAATTTTAATAGAATCATGGAGAAAAATTTTCTGTGTGGTTGCTAAGAGCTGACAATGACTTAATGGCATATAATCAATCAATCAATTTTAAATGGAAGTCATATACTGTTTTGGTTAGAGCTGAACCAGGAATCTTCTATAGAGTAAATGGAATTAAAAAATAAAGTACTGAAATTATTTAGGATGAAATGGTGTAATACTGGAAATAGTACTTTATCAATTTGCATGAGAATTATAGTAATGGCTTAAAGATTTGAAACAAATGATATAAATGTAAATGTTCAAGAATAAAAACATGAAAATGAAGTCATAAATAGTGTGAAAAAGTTGAAAATGCTAAAGCTGCAGGTGTAGATGATATAATTGGCAACTAAAAATTAAATGTGGCTTGTTTATGGAGTGGCTATCAATGTGGGAGTGGATCTCTTTGATGATTAGAAGAATGTTGCTTTTATAAATAAAGGGAAAGATAGCAAGAATATAAACCAGGGGTGTCAAACTCTATCGTATTGCAACTCCCCCCCTTTGCTAAACTGGGGGAGAGCGTGGTCAGTATGTGACGTATCTGGTCCGTGGTTGTGAGTTTGGCATCCCTGATATAAACAAAAGCTAGTTTGTTAAGTGGGATTATGAAGGTGGCTTTCAAAATTTGGATTCACAAAGTATGAGAATTAACAAAGATCAAAAATTGTGAAGGATGGTGTGGCTTTACTCCAGGTAAAGCATGTACAGATAGAATTTACTCCCCCCCCCCAGGGATAATTATGAAACATGAATGTGAAAAAAATTGCTGCATAAGCATTTAGAGAGAGAATATCGTAAGTTGACTGGGTTTGTACTGTGTAATACTTTGCACATATACAAAGTTGAAAATTCATTGATGAATGAGATAAAAGAAGTCATGATGCAAGTAAAATATGTATTAAAATAAATGGAATTCCTTAATGAACTGAGAAGGGAATAAGAGGAAAGTCTGTGTTCCTTCCTTAGATGTTTATTGCATTTATGCATAAATGTGTAAGAATGTGAAAGAAATGCATGTAGTGACATAAGACCATAAGGTGTTAGACATTAATACATCTATACTATTATATGCAGATGATTCTCTGTTGTTGGCTGAGAATATGAATGATTTGCAGTGAATATTAGATAGACTGTATGATGCATGTAGAGTGTGGATCTGAAAATTAATGTATCACAGAGCAGGTAATTGTAGTTGACAGAATGAAGTGACAAATTATGAGTTATACAAAAAATAGCAGAAAACTACATAAGCAAATGAATTCTAGGTGATAAAATGTTTACTAAAGATGGAGTAATGGATCAAAAAAATTCAAGACATGTAAATGTATTTGGAAAGATAGTGGATAGGATTTGGTCTCTTAACAAGGAATGAATATTTGTTGAAAAAAATAAGAGTGATTATACAGGTGCTTCTGCTCATTTTGTTATGTGGAAGAGAGTTGGGCATGTTGTGAGAAACAGAAAATTAAGTTGAATTCAATGGAAATGGTGTAAGGAAATGAATGTGATAAAAGAAAAAGAGACAGAAATAAGAATGAATGGGTGATGAATGTAGTATGTGCAAAAATGAGCAATTAGTATGAAATAAGTTTAGATGGTTAAATAAAATATACAGAATGAACAACAACTGAATTACAAAATTAATATTTGATAGAAGAATGACATAGCTTGAGAGGAAGAAAAAGTCCAAGGAAGTCATTGCTGGTAGGATTTGATGAAATTCTCAAAATGTGAATGGCCAGAAGTTTAACAAGAAAAGGCTAAGTAGAAAGAAGTGAATGAGCATTTTGGAAGCAAGAATAGAAAAATCTGGAAATATCCAAACAACCAACCTAGATGTTCTTATCTTATTAACAGATACTCATCTAGAAACTAAGCATTTACAATATTTTGTATATTGCCCAAAATGTAAACATTGGGAAGCCTCCCAGAGTTGGTTATCTAATGGGCAGCTATATAAATGTTTTAAATAAATATATTCCATACAGTGGTGAAATCTGAACTGGTTTGCTACCGGTTTGCTGGCTGCGCATGCACGCTGCGTGCCAAATGTGTGCTGGGTGCGCATATGCAGTGTGCACCAAACACACAGGCACATGTGCAGTATGCGCCAAAAGGAGGCTTGGGAAGGTAAGTAGAACAGCGAGGGAGTATCAGCTGTGCCACGCGATTTAGATTCACTAGAGAGCTGGATTCTAGTGAATCTAAATTGCGTGGCACAGCTGATCATCGGAAATACTGGTTCGGAAGAACCGATAGGTTTTTATCACTACCAGTTCATCTGAATCAGTGCGAACTGGTAGCATTTCACCACTGATTCCATAGATGTTCATAGAGCTAAGCCAATTTTAGTTCGGCTGTTGACAGAATTAGAATAGGATTGATACATATCTTATACTAAGATTATGAAATATAGTAAATCATATTTATATTTAGAGTTAGGGTTAGGGCTACATTTTTCTT